TTAGAGCTGTGGAAGGAAGATACTGCATTGTTGGGGCCTGTGTTGAAACAACGATGGATCACTGTTTGGGGTTTGAACAAAAGAATCCACCACCAAGTTGTCAGACCCGTCTTTAGTTGGGGAACCTGAATGGGCTATGAAATCCAGCAGGGTAGGTGGCATTCCTCCCCACTCTCCACCCCAGTTTAGGAAGATGCAGGCTAGGTCTGTGAGCATCTGTGAAAAGGAACCCAAGAGAAGTTGCAGTTTGATGGGACAGAGTGGCAGGCAGGGCAAGAGCTGTCAGGATATGAAGCCATCTTAGGATGCTGCCCATCTTGGGGCACTTCCTTTTGAAGAAAGCTGAAGTAGGGCAATGGATATGCTGTAGGTAAGGTAAAGGGTAAAGGTAAAGGTAAAGGGACCACTGACCATTAGGTCCAGTCGTGACCGACTCTGGGGTTGCGGCGCACATCTCGCTTCATTGGCCAAGTGAGCCGGCATACAGCTTCCGGGTCATGTGGCCAGCATGACTAAGCCGCTTCTGGTGAACCAGAGCAGTGCACAGAAATGCCGTTTACCTTCCCGCCGGAGCAGTACCTATTTATCTACTTGCACTGGTGTGCTTTCGAACTGCTAGGTTGGCAGGAGCAAGGACCAAGCAATGGAAGTTCACCCCGTCGCAGGGATTCAAACTGCCGGCCTTCTGATCAGCAAGTCCTAGGCTCTGTGGTTTAACCCACAGCGCCCCCTGCGTTCCAGTGCTGTAGGTAGGAAGGTGTTAAGTAGTATTCCTCCACCTACACTCACCTTTTGAGCCAACATCTAATTCTGTCTCTAAGGAACCACATTCAGCTAAGCACTGCTGGGGAAGTGGCATGTGCATAACAGTATAAATGCGCCGAGGGATTTGGAAACTGTCTAGCATGAGCTAAGGAGTGGTTCCTATGCCCGGAAAGAGCAGGGGAAAAAGCTAAGTGTGGATAAGCCCTTAAACTACCTATACTCTTGTTTTCCATTATGCAGAGAAAGTTACTATTAACTTCCCATGGATTGTGACACTGCCTTCACCCTTCAGCTCTTGACCCAGTCTACAAGCACAGGCCATTATGGGCCCGTCTCCCTTCTTGCTTTATCAAAGAAGCAAAACTCAACTTGCCTCCTGTAAAAATAAGGTGAACACATTTATAGAAAGATTTACTGCTTGCAGAACTTTATTTAGGAACACAAAGGTACATACCCTAATTAGCACGCCCCTGAACTCACAAGGTAAGGAAGGAGGGAGGGAGAGAGGGAGAAAAGCATGGCCATCTATTGCAATGCTGAGAATAACCTTTGAAAATGCTATCTAATCTTCAGACTATTGAAATAACTTCAATTTGTTTGGTGTGGAATAAGGACACATTCAATCATGTGTGCTAGGACCTTTGCAGGACTCTTAGGAAGATTTGCAGATGTAATATAATGAAAACAAGTCCTGTGAAAAACTGCGGCTTAAATCTTCTCAGAAAGGGACCTTTCCACCTCAATTTGCTATTTTCAAATAGATTCAAATTAGATGGTTCATGCAGCACTTATGGTGGGATGCAAGGAGACACAAATGTTCTCCTAGGGAGCCAAATAAATGAGAGCAGACGAACACCGCCACCTTTTCAACTTAGGTTCCCAAGCAGAATTAAATAGGAAGGTTGTTTATTATAGGAAACCAGCAAACCAATGGTTTACTGGTCCAGCAACTGGAATCTCAAAAGCCAATAAGCTCCAGGCCTGCCTTCCTTGCAATGCTTTCTCCTGACTCTGATTATCTTGTACATGTCATCTGCCCAGCCAACAGGACAATGCTTTTGAAATGAAAAGTTGACCACTCTGATTTCAAGGTGAGTCAGATGAGGACAGGAGAGACCCATGCTCATATCCCCAGACACAAAGTTCAATGAGTGACTTTAGCCCCCTGTGTCCAGGGCAGCTGTCTACCAGCTCCACCTGGTACGCAGGCTAAGACCCTACCTGCCCGCGAACTGTCTCGCCAGAGTGGTGCATGCTCAAGTTATCTCACGCTTGGACTACTGCAACGCGCTCTACGTGGGGCTACCTTTGAAGGTGACCCGGAAACTGCAATTAATCCAGAATGCGGCAGCTAGACTGGTGACTGGGAGTGGCTGCCGGGACCACATAACACCGGTTCTGAGAGATCTGCATTGGCTCCCAGTACGTTTCCGAGCACGATTCAAAGTGTTGGTGCTGACCTTTAAAGCCCTAAACGGCCTCGGTGCTGTATACTTGAAGGAGCGTCTCCACCCCCATCATTCAGCCCGGAAACTGAGATCCAGCGCCGAGGGCCTTCTGGCGGTTCCCTCATTGCGAGAAGTGAGGCTACAGGGAACCAGACAGAGGGCCTTCTCGGTAGTGGCGCCCGCCCTGTGGAACGCCCTCCCATCAGATGTCAAAGAGATAAATAATTACCTGACATTCAGAAGACATCTTAAGGCATGTTCCCTGTTCAGGGAAGTTTTTAATATGTAACGCTGTACTGTTTTTAACACTGATTGGGAGCCGCCCAGAGTGGCTGGGGAAACTCAGCCAGATGGGCGGGGTATAAATAATAAATTATTATTATATTATTATTATTACTTCTCTCATAGGCTAGCCTGCCTTGCAGGTTGTTGTGCAGATGAAATAGGGAAGGAAACCCATGCATGCTTCCCTGAGTTTCTTGGAGGAAGGGTGGGATGAAAATGCAGTTTCTAATCCTAATTTCAGCAAACTTTTTAAAAATGATAATAATGATAGTTATGATGATGAAGCTATTAAGGTAATGGAAGTCTCCCATTCATCTAAGTTTAACGAGGAATAAATAATCTGCAATGTATTTACCAAACTAAATAAATCAAAATACTGGCCAGAGTGAAGTGATTTTGCCAATGGCTTTTCATTAAGTCCTTTCAAAACAAAGCAACAAGAGAATGATGATCTACAACAATATAATATGCAAAGACAATACACCTGAGAAAAAGCAAACTTGCTATGTTAGCAGAGGAGGTGGGCTGTTAATGGTGTTTTTTTCACCAACTCAAATGAGTAGCCAGAGGATTTGAAGTCATTTTGACTGGTCAGGCTGTAAAATGTCAAAATATGTGTGACCTGAAGATCATGATTTATTTATTTTTAAAAGCCTTCTATTCGCAAGTTTTCATTGCCTTGCAATAAAATAATTAAAATCTCCCACAATATCAAGAAGTGATTGAAATAAATGAAAAACAGTTAAAGTACAATCCTGGAGTCACTAAATGAATAACCACCTTTCGTCAGATTTGTTGACCTACAGAACTAAGTGGGTGTATAATAAATGTAAACACAATTTTTTTCAGGACACACTTTCAGTAGCCTGAAAAATACCCTCAAACAACTCACACTGGAGAACATGGGCTCCCAAATCCATGTTTGATCAATGTAGAGGTGAAGAAAAGGGTGATAACCAAGGAGAATCAGTAAACAACCCAACCACTATTTCCCACTTTATTTATCATAATGGTGGGCATTTTGCTAGTTTTTGCATAAAGCTGTTACCAAAAGAGACCTTGAGAGTCCCATTGCATCAAACTGAAAATCACACCAAATTGTCTTCATTATGCATGACACATTGCAGGCCCAGGTGCAGCAGAACATAACAGGGAAAGTGTTGTAAAATGGAAGGGGGAAATTAGAGGTAGAAATTTACATAGCAGCAGATTATTAAATCTACATAAATAAACCATATGGAGGTGCACCATCTATAATTCTATCAGTTCAAACCGAATGTGCATGTCTGAGGAAAGGGGCAGGAGAGAGGTTGGGCAAGGAGTGATATACCACAGAAGGAACTCTGTGGCAAAGACCTCATAGTGCTTAATAGCTGGAGGATCTAAGAGGCTAGAGCGTTTGAGACAAAAGGCAAAGTAGCTAAAAGCAGCAACCTGCAAGGAGGAACTTGAGGGGGAAATGAGCTGTGGAACCAAGAAAAAAAACCCCCAAAGAACTTAAATAGTGTTGCAAGGTGCTGAATCCAGGCCCACAACACAGGAATTGTACCAGTTATGGCTTCATCAGTCAATCAGCATTGTGACCTGACATCTCTAAAAAGATAGAAAGAATGCATGATGAGAAGGGAGGGGCAGTTGCCTAAATTTCATGTATGGATTTGCAACTAAGCAACCAATTTCTTTGACTGCAGGCTTTTAGCAGTGAAACAAACTTCCACACATTGTTGCTACTGAGACTCGTGGGAGCAAGATGGCAAAGCACTGCACTTAAACGTAACGCACATAAGTGATACCCCACTCCCCGTCTCATTGACACCCCCAGAAAAGCACCAAAATGACTTTCTATTGCAGAAAGGAACAAAATATAAAGATATGTGAGACAGGGAAAGCAAAAAGGCGTGTTGTATGTTGCACTTCATTTAGGCAGGCAGGCTCTGAACTTCAGAGCCAACAGTACACAGCAACCACTTTACGAAAGCAGAATTTGCAGGTAGCTCCAAGCCACATTCAACATTAATTTCAGCAGCAGAGCATTCATTTCCTCTCAAGGCTGCCTGCGTTAAACACAAACGAAGCCTCTTTATTGAACCAGAATAGATCAACACACCATATCCTGCAAGCCAGACAGAAAGGAGAATTATCACTCCAAAGGGTCGTTAATAAAGAAGTGAATTATCTTTAGAACATATTCATAGTTTAGCATCATCCCTCTGTTCTGTGAGTAAATATACCCTAATGCATCTTTTGAAAAGTGATGTCTCCCTGCGCTGCTCTGTTGCACTATTTATAATCACGCCTTCTTCCTGTGGTGCATTCTCGAAATGGCCCTCAACAAGCACCAAGTCACTTAAGAGTCTGACTTATTTATGGCTCTGGAGCTCTAACGAGAACAGGAACAGACATTTCATTCTTGTAATTTGAATGATCAGCAATTTAACAACATCCTGGAGGTCAAGTTCTCCCCTGGTTTTCTGCACAGGTATGCCTGCCACCACCCTTCTTTCCCCCTCTTGTTGAATGTGACTTGCATCTCTCGCACGAGTGACCTGAAACTATTAGCTCCACAGGTACCTTTCTGCAGCATGTCCATTCTCTCTGCGTGGAAGACTGTGGCCTCGATTGCACTGGGTGGCCTTGGGAGCGCAGGAGCGATAGCAAGATGATCATCCTCTGCCTTACATCGGTAAACTGCATTTAATGACCTTCAGATTTCTTCAGCTCTATTCTTCAATTCTTCAATTTATTTTAAAAAGAAAAGAAAATCACTCAACTCCACTCATTCCCATTATACAGAAAACATAGAAACAGCAACTGGCAATCTCCACAGCTGTATTAATTAATTAATTAACTAATTAACTAATTGATCAAATCATCAGTGTAGGCTGAAGGCAAGGCACCACATGCAAACAGACGCAGAATGAAGGCAGTTATGCCTTTTCCAGACATCCTGGGAAAACACAGAACTGCAGGTCAGCTTCTTACCCTAACCACACAATCCTACTCAGTAATCTTCTCTGGGTTCAAGAGAATTTACTTCCAGGTTGCATTGTGCACAGGGCCTTAGCGTTCTTGAATACAGTGGTACCTCGGGTTAAGTACTTAATTTGTTCCGGAGGTCCGTTCTTAACTTGAAACTGTTCTTAACCTGAGGTACCACTTTAGCTAATGGGGCCTCCTGCTGCCGCCGCGCCGCCGGAGCACAATTTCTGTTCTCATCCTGAAGCAAAGTTCTTAACCTGAAGCACTATTTCTGGGTTAGTGGAGTCTGTAACCTGAAGCGTATGTAACCTGAAGCGTATGTAATCCGAGGTACCACTGTACAGAATACACATGCACCACACCAGGAGTAGCCAATGTGGTGCTGCCCTCTGGATGTTGTAGACTACCATAATCTCTGACCACTGACCATGCTGATAGGGGCTGATGGAAATTGTAGTCCAACAGCATATGGAGGGCACTATGTTGGCTACCCTGGTCTACACTGATGGGCAGCGGTTTTCAGGCAGGACTCTTCCAGCCCAGCCTGAGCTGGAATTGCACTTGGTACAGTTTGCATGCAGAACATGTCCTTTACCACTGACCTATGGTCCTTTCCCAACAACAGCAATGGCTGCACAATTGTACCACAAGTAACAAATATGATTATAATGTGTGAGTCTTTCAAACATGCTCTCTCTCTCCCTGTGACTATATGAAGGGGAAATCAAATTTCTCGTGTACCTTCCTGGCATAGGATTTAAGTAATTTAAAGGCTTCCTTTAGAAGAGGTCTAAATCTTCTAGAAGGCTTGGCAAAGCTAGGTGTCCAATTAGCTGAGACACAGACACAGCACTGAGGAAATGTCTCTTTTTTAAAAAGAAAAGAAAAGCGGCCACTCAACTTTGGTAGTTCTTTGTTGATGAAAAATGAATGTGATACTCATTGTAAATGGATTCAGATTGAGTTAAATAACCCCCTATTACTCTAGAAAGATAGCTGAGCTTTTTAAAAAGAGCAGTTGCCTAACTTAATAAAATAAAAGATGGCAGGAGCAGACTGGACAGTAATTACTTAAATTACAAACTATTGCTCAGGTAACCATCTGGGATGAATCCAACAGAGCTAACACCGTGTATCTGTATCTTAGCAACTAACAATCTGAATAAGTCTCTGTGTTTTGCAGTTAAAAGCCCTTACATATAGTATGGTGTTACCAAAGTGCTCCGCCTTGCTGTCATTTTAATTCTGCCCCTAAGCACCTTAACTTCTAAAGTTTTTATGCGATTATGACTGCGCCAAGCAAGGGCTTGTGCATGCACAGCAGAGGGAATAAGCAATGGTGTGCACTGGCTATCCTCATAAACGTTAAGTGGGATTACCTTTGGAAGCTGTGAGGATTCGGGATATATATGCAAATGACTTACATTTCACCCGATTCCTTTTGCACAGGTGTGCTATTTGGTCATTTAAGAGTTTTGGCAAGACCAAAGTATCATTCAAATAAGGACCATCCCTACCGGGACTGTAATGAACAGTCATTTGTGTTGGTAAATGTTGAGATCCAGCACCAAGGGTTTGCCCACAAAGCTTCAGTAGTAAGCCTTGAAAATGACATTATCCTCTTAGATTTCCTCTTCAATTCTGTACACAGTGCCCAAATGTGCTGTGGTAGGAATGCTTAAAATCCTCAAGCTCATTCCGCTTTTCTTTAGATCGCTCTCCTTTTGTTCTATGTAACTCATCCCATAAGGAAACAGAGTTATTTCCCTTCTTCATGAGACCTCACTAGGAACTTCCTATCCCTACCTCCTATAGCCAGGGGATCCTTGCCTATTCCCTGTATTTGCTATTGTATTCAGTTTTAGTAAAAAACAGAGGGAGCAGATACATACACATAGCTTTATAGTCTTCTTTTCTATGCAATGTTATTTTTCGCCGATTAGGAAGGTTCAGGGAGCATCTACCTTTGATTCCCCGTAACAACCCTTTATAGAAACAAAAAGCAGCCCACAGCCTGGTTTTGCAGATGAGTGGCAAGGTGTGCTCAAGGAGGAAAAGGAGACTACACAGAAGCTGAATGAATTGTTTGCAATTGTCTTCAACAGCAGAGGATATAGGGTAGATTCCCAGAGCTTGAATGAATGTTTGCAGCAGGGGAGCCAGAGGAACTGAGGCACAGAGTGGTGATGAGATACAAAGTCCTAAGCCTAATAGACAGAATAAAATATGCCAAATCACCAACCTTGAATGGCATCGACCATGAGAGTTCTCAAAGAACTGGAATGTGAAATTGTTGATCTAGCAAAAATATGCAAATAGTCCCATAGATACTGGAGTATTGGAAAGTGGCCAACATAATACCATTTTCTTTTAAAGGGAGTCAAGGCAGTGGGGGAGGGAGATACTGTTTGGTCACCTGACTTTATGGTGATGTCATTTGATTGAGAGGTGGGTGGCCCTCCCACCAGTCAAAATGGCCTGTGGTGTGCTGGGGACCTCCAGACCCAGGCTCCCAGCCAGATCATGTCCTCCACTCATCGTTTATAACAGTAAAATGGGAGGGACAATCTAAACTTGCATGAGCACAACAACAACAAAGCACAATTAATTAAGAAAAAATGAATACTTTCATAACAATTAACACAGAAACTAGTGCTAAACCATATTCTGCTAGATTTTTGGATGTGGCTTTTACATTGAGAGAAAGCTCAAATAAACTGTGGAGATTAGGGAAATGAAATAAACTGTTGTCTGAATGCAGCCTTACTCTCAGATACTCCCATTGAGTTCAGGGGGACTTTATCCCAGGTTAAGTAGGTATAGGATTGCAGCCTAAAAATTGCCACGAATCCCACCCCTCCCCCAGGTCTGTTATGAATGCATCATTAGTTACGCAATGTTCCAAAAGTATATATTGAGTCTTTGTGGTATCTTAAAACTTTGCTGGCAGATGATATAACTTTTAATATATTTATAACAGGAATTGAAATATGCAAGGGAGAGTTCTAGCACAAGTCTACAAAGGCATAATCGTTTTAATGCACGATACAAAGCTGCTTTTTGCAACAAAACAGACAATCACTGGGTGGGTGTTAAATGATGAGTGCAGGATAGCATTAGGATGAAAGCAAGGTGTTTTGTTCCCTCAGACATGTCACTTTCTCAGAGAAATCCAAGTTAGAATTTTACTTTAGTGGATAAGAGCAATGCGGCATGTCACTTAATTGTTCCCAGCTTTTACCTGTAGACATATCCTCCCTCTCTTAGTGTGGCTCAGCCATTTGTGCTGGGGGTTCCAGCACTCCCCCTGCTCCTATTTATGTACAATTTAAAATCTGCCCTTAACAACATTTGCTACCTAGGATGATCAGTGGCTGATGTGAAATGCAGAAAATTGCTCACATAGAAGATGCAACAAAAGTCATAATAAAAGTTCGTGAGTGGGAAAATAAGTTTGCAAGATGGAATTATAAAACAACCTTCATTTTGAGCAAATTATAAGGAGCAGACATTTCTCTTCTGCTTCTACCCATGATATCCCTATGCACATATCTTACTCATGTATGCAGAATTGGTGACAAAAATATGATTGTTAGTTTAGGTGCGATATAGTATAGTATGGAAAATTCCCTGGATGCCAAGATCCAGGTTTGGGGCAAATACTCTTTGGTGAGAGAACCCCAGCAGAGATTTAAAATCACAAAATGTGCAGCAAAGTAAAGTGAGGAAATATAGGCCTTTAAAATATGCCATTCCATAGTTCCTCTCTTCCCCTAGCATGGAAAAGACCACACATTGGGCAACTTAAAAATGGTTTACAGTACTTACAAACGTCCCAATGGTTGGATTCATGTGCTTCTGAAAGTTGCAAAGGCAGTAAAACTCGGCTTAGTTACAAATTGATGAAAGTGCCTAAATTTTTGGTATAGGAACTCAAGAGTGGCTTGTGAGAGCCGTGCAGTCTGAGCTGGAGCAATCAATCAAACCTCTTGACAAACTGAGCTTCTCAGGTAGACTGAGGGGAAATGGGCATTAATATGCCTGGCAGGACTGCTTACTCTATGGTATTAACTCCTTAATTAAACTTACACATGTAGATTATGGAAGCTTATCCAGAAGGGAATGTGGCCCTTCAACTAAAAAGGTTTACCACCCCTTTGTTTATTTGTTAAATTTGTATACCGCCCTATACCTGCAGGGACCATTATTTGGCATGCATTACTCTGTACACCATGTAGAGTGATGGCATTATTCTAAAATTATAAATATTCCCAGCCCACCCCACCCAAAAAAAGATTGCTTGGAAGAAGTGTATGTGTTAACCTACATTAATTTTCCAGAATCTGGGGCTCTCCATATATATGTTTTGGACTGTTTGGTTGGGGCTGATGAGAGTTGTAGTCCAAGCCCCCTGGAGGGCACCAGGTTGGGGATGCCTTGCCTACATCCAATTCATAATGCCAGGGGAGCTAAAACAAAACCACCATAGTAGAAAACTAAAATTTGATGGATTAATTCCCTTGACAGTGACCTCTAGTGAGAACTGAGGCTCACTGTACTTTGTACATGCCAACATATCCAAAGAACAGAAACTGGGGTTGCTTGATCCAGACTGCAAAAAGGACTCCTATACCATTTCAAACTGAGGGACAGGGAGTGGCAACAGGGGAGATAGGACTTGGTAATATTCCTTCTTCTGTATGGCTCTTAAATGCATAGGAGCCTTCTCTAGGACTGGCACAAAAAAAGCCAAACAGAAATGCCACCACAGTCTGAATGACCTGTGTTTCAAAGCCACATGTCAGAATAACACAGATGAGGAGCACACACCCGTTTTAAATCTCAATCGGATGTGCCAAGTCAAAATAACGGGCTGTTTGAAAGAGGAGATGGCCTCGGTTTCAAATCCCATTGTCACCTGCTTCTGCCACTGGGCAGAATGAATAGCAGGCAAGAGAGGCAACCTCATCAGGCCTTGCTAAGAGATGCTGTTACTGCCAATAAACCATCTGCTATGTAACCAAATAACTTATCAACATTTAGATAGATTCCAATTACAATGCATGCAACAGTACTATGGAGAGTGAGGAGTCAATCTTCATAGCAGGGATCATCAGCCTTCCAGAGGCAACAAAGAAAAGCCTCAGCTCCTTCCCCAAACTACAATTCACAGGGTAAACCATAACATTTGATTGAAAACAGATGCAGCTATAGATACATCTAAGCCTGAACACAGAGCAAAACTATGGATTTCCAAAACTTTGTGCTGTGAGCTTAAGAGAACTGCTAGTGTGGCGTGGAAAATAAATTAGTTTTGAAAATGAAGAAGTTTATTTTGTTGGATTCCCCCCTAAAAAAAACCAATAATAATAATAATAAAGCCTACAGAGGATGTTGTCCACTGTCTCTCTCATCTCTTTATAATTCACTGCTCTGCCTTTCCTCCTTCCAATCAGTGTCTGCTGAGGGCGGGTAATTTTGTAGCATCTCTGCATCAGGCTGGATCACTCCATCACTCCCAATGCAGAGAGACAGCAGAATTAACTACCTTCAGTGGAGGCGCACCCACAATAGTGACTCATGCAGAATCACAGAGGAGCAAGGACTGCCAGTCAGCCCAGAGAATATTAAACTGTTTCATCTTCTAACAGATGAATTGTGGCAGCTGTTTTGCAGTTAAAACACTTAACTAACTCCGTGCGGCAGGGGAGGGGGGGGGAACCTTCTTACTCCTTGGTCCTCTCTAGGAACATGCAACAACAGATCTCTTTATTCCACAAACCAAATCTCTAACTAAAAAATAGTGTTGGAAGGAACCATTTTAAAACTGAATAATCTTCTATGGCTTAGTTCACAAACCATAGCTTGGCAGGAACTGGCGAGTGTGCTGGTGGGTTCCCAGAGAGGAGAGCACAGCCACTGTGGCTCCTCCCATGTTCCTCCTGGTGCCACACTTCCTAAGACAATGTCATAGCTTGGCTTCACGGATCATCGAAACCCAAGCTCCATCGTTCGTCTGCTCTAGGCAAATCACAAGCCATAAACCAAGAACAGACCTTGGTTACAGATTGTGTCATGTCTGGCGCAAAACAAACCACAAATCAAGCTTCTTAGAACAGTGGTCGCAATCTCGTCTCCAGGAATCTGCATGTTCATGCTAAGCCGTGGTCTGGCTTATGACTGTGTGCAAACCAGGTCTATATTTCCCTAGCTTTAATTAAAGGTGGTCCAGCATGCCATCTTCCTATTCTTTCTTGTGGGCTCCCTAAAAGACACTCCTAGCTACAACTTTATGCAGCTTTGCAAATGGAATATAGCCACTGACATACATGAATCAGACAGCAATCAGACATGTGCATCCAGGAAAAACCAATAAGCTTTTTGCAAACCATTCATACATATTAAGAAAATACATTTCTATAGCCACCTTCTGACATGGTTTTTAAGAGCGGAAGTTACATGTGAAGCAGTAACTTTGCCAAGTATCGGTTTGAGGGAGTTTCATACTGACTTTATTAGCAAGGCTTCCAAGCAAACCAGCGCTGTAAGGACATTGCTTCAGGCATTCAACAGCACAAGACTGTTTGTGAAGGTCATTCTGGAACCCAGGGTCCCAGTACCATATCCAGAGGACAGCTGACCACACTGTACACAAAGCGAGGAGGGAGGGGAGCACAACATGCATCCCAGGAGTTAGAAGGTGCTTTTCCTCCGTCCCCTTTCAAAATCTCTGCATGTACTGCACAGTGTGTCATTCCCATCTGGCAAATGGGTCTTTGGAAAACCAGACTGCGCTGAAGCACCCAACATCTGAAATGGGAGAGGGCGCTAGACATTATCTGACAGAAAAGCTGAAGCAATACAACCATTCCCTGCTATTTAATTTGTCTAGACGTGTCGTAAAGCTCCCTTAATTATCACCCACATTCTGGCTAAAAGTTGCCCCCAATCCAGCATCGCACAAGAGTAGTTCGGCCAGTTTTGTCTAGTACTGTATCTAATATGAAGTTGTTCCACATTTGTCTTTTGTGTCCCATATGAGAATAGAGAGACAAGATAAAGCATAAGGGGACGGGGTGACATTTACTTCAGAGCATGCACCCATCTGGCTAGAGCTCCTAAAAATCTGTGTTTTATTGTGACTTGGCTGCAATGCATTGTATTACTCAACTGCAGAAAGCTTCTTTTATTAAGCTGTTTTTCACATCAGGTTCTCTAGGATGTTTTGTGCAATTCTGCACTACTCCAGGTGAAAAGGGGAATCAGTTTTAAAACCATCTTTAGTTTGTCATACAGCATTGTGAGTTTACAGTGCTTCTTGTCCTTCCTTTTCAGGGCACTCAAAGCTACTCAATAGGGTGATAGAATGAAGTTTTTGATACATTAGGCCCCGAAGAAAGTAGGGCAGCAGCATTTTCCAGAGGTGCCCTGCCAGCTGAATGGCAGCTGGGGCCACTTGCTTGTCCATCTCAAGAGAAAGGTTTGGGTACAATATTAATACTAGATAAGGAATCTCTCCTGTGTGACCAATCTTCTGCTTAAGCTTTCCTTTTATAGGCAAAGTAAAATGGAAACCATCTGAGCCAAGGTGTTAAAAAACACACACTACTAACACAGCGGTTGCAGAACTTGCTGTCCCTGGCAACAATTGTTCAGCTTCCTTCAGCTGTAAAATGGAATAAAGACATGTACCACAAGCTTCTTTATATATTATATAAAGAAATGTATTATATAAAGGAGGATGGGAAAACACTTCTACTCTTGAAGGGTTGTCTATTCATTAAAATAAATAAAAATGCCTTGAGTTAGACACTCTCTGCAATACAATTTACTGACCACAGAGGCTGTTGATAATCCACAGACCCCTGAAATGCTCTAAGATAGACCATACTACCCAGCAAACAGCCCTGGTTTATCAGATCCACTGACCGCCTCAGGACAACCTCCTTTCCTGTTTTCTCCCACATCATATAGAAATGATGTGATATATGGAAGTATACAAGCTTGTACAGAAGCGATATATAAAAGGTGGTTATGCAGAAACATGTATACAAATATATCCTTAACGAGTTAACCTTTTCCCAACTGCTGCATAAGGACAACAGTTTTATTTAAAAGACTGTAAGTATACATTTGGAATTGCCCTCACACTATAGATAAATACAACAGCATCTCTCCCCCCCGCCCCCATGTCCTTATTTGAGTTCCTAAGAAATGTATATAATAAAAACGAATACTCAAACAGTTGCTGCCTAAACAGAGACTTCCAAGGGAAAGCATGCTTTTAACAAATGCTATTGTGATTGGCTATGGTTAAAAATGAGGTGGCCACTCAAAATTATACATAAGGCTTAACTTTTGTTAAGCCACACATTTAAAAGTTTCTTTCCATCGTTTGGTTCCTACCTGCTCTGCTGGAGGGAAAATGTTCTCCATGTTGTAGATGCCTCAGTCTCTGGCCCCTAATCTCCCACAGAGCAGCTGTGCTGGTTTCTATCTCTGGTTCCTAATTGGAGGCAGGTGGCGGCAACCCTAATGAGGGCTGGTAGGGAGGAAGGCGAAAAAGTGGGACTTCCAGGTCACAAAAACAAAACCTTCTTCCTGTTAAAAGGGGGAGGGAGGCAAAGGGGGAGACAACCTCCTTCCTATCTCTGAGCCAGAAGATTGAAAGGACTGTGATCTGGCAGCCTAGCTCTTCATGAATTCCAACTGTATCAGACATTATTCCTCTCTCATCTCCTTCACCTGGGGTCCAGGTAGGAACTCTACCTTCTGTTTTTTCAGCTTGTAGCACAACAGGCTGCATGGACATGGAGAAGGGCAGGGTTTGGGAAGTTCTGTGTTCAGTACTATGATCCAAGCCACCCCTTGTTGTACAGCCATGCTGTGAGATCCTGGCACGCATCCCAGAGCAAGATTTGAACCCAAGCCTCCCATGTCAGACCCAAATGTATTAGTCATTAGGCCACATGTTACCATTGATGCTTAGCTTATGGGGAGAGCCCACAGGTTTCGACCAGCCTTTGCAGCCAGAAAAAATGGACGCTTGTCGTGAGCCTGTCCACACACACCCCCAGCACAGAGAGGGGTTGCTTGGTTTCAACACTGTGTTCAAAAACCAGAGTGTCTAGGTTTTTGCCCTGTTCCCCAGCTGTGAAGTGGAGAGAGGGCTGGTTCTAGCCCTGTTGCACTGAGCCTCAGAGACACTTCGAACGCTGCGAAGACTTGCTTTCCAAGTGACTTGGTGTTGCACCACATTCTCCAAATATGGAGCCAGGCAGAGGCGCGCTCTCTGGTGTTTCCCTCTCCAGGTTAAAGCATATACTTGCAAAGGGTCAGCTGATGAGGGTACTTGTAGATCTTTGATTTGGGCCATTGCAGTGTAAGTGTTGCCCTATTAAGAATGAGGCAAGTTATCAGCAAAAACATTCTTGAACTGATAGCTCAAGAGTGCACATATTTAGTTACCGCCAGATAGTTGCTTTGTATCTGCGTTTTTGCAGAAGGAGAGTGAATCTGATTTCCTGTTGGACCTTGAACTGTGTTACAGAGCAAGGAAGTTGTCTACATTTCCTTAAACTGCAATGGCTTATGAACATAACCAATTCTCTTAATGGTTAAGTTGCACTGATGTCAAAACGGTCCTGACGATGTATGTTTACATAAGGGAATTCTGGCTGGGACAACCTTGCCTGCTTTGTCATAAGCAGGCTTGCTCTGAAAGTGTTTTGAGGCCTCAAAAGCAGAATTCTGATTTTAACGAGCAAAATACATGAGATTAAATCCTCCCCTCCCCATCTGCATCGGTATTGCATTAAATACCACCTTGTTGGTGCAAAACAGAGTTCACCAGATAACAAGACTCCCAAGCTTACGCAAATCACAATCAGCCGCACGCTACGTTGCCAAAGAGTAGACCAGTTCGCACAACTCTTTTGTCATGGTGAAATGTGTCCACTGGTGATGTTCAAGTCACATTATTGCCTCATCCTGCACCCTGCTCAAACCCTGAGACACTCATAACATGTTTAGAAAATTTGTGAGGTACACCTATGCGCTGATACGAATCAGTCCTCAGTCATGACTCCCTCATTTAATGTGATGAACCTAAGCTGTTCCAGTTTGCGGTATCAGTGTTGCTAAGCAACACTACCTACCTACTCAGTATTGCCTTTTTAATTTTTATTTTATTTAGAAGAGGCAGAAATTTTTGCCACACTTGTGCTTCAGAAACCTTGCAAGATCAGAATAAAATAGTGTTATGTCTAGGGGGTTCGTGGGGTTTTGGAGTAGTATTTTGTATATTGCGGATACCATCCCTTTGCCCGTGTCCCTTTGTTGCTAGGAAGAGGTTTTCGAAGGTTGTCAGGGGTCTAGTTGCTGTTGATTTTACTACTGGCTTGTTTAAGAGGGCATGTTTCTATGTTGGGGATTCCCCATCCTCCCTCTGAGGAGGGGAGGTGCAGATATTTGGGGCTTATTCTTGGTTTTTTGTGTGAGAAGATGAATAGGTGTAGTTTTTCTTGCCATTTTCGAAGTTGGGTTGGGGGGATCCAGATTGGGAGGGTTTGGAATAGTTAGTTTTGGGAGGGTGATCATTTTGAACATGGCTATTTTGTATGAGAGAGTGAAGTTCGTGTTGTTCCATCTCTTTAGGTCCTTGTTAATTTGCCACCACATGGGGTTGTAGTTGTGGAGGTATAATTTCTGGGGGTGAAAATAAAATCCCCGTCCGGAATATTGGGTCCAGCAAGCTTCCCAGTTCAGCTCCGTATCCCTGGAAGCTCTGAGCTGGCCTAGCAGAGTAATGCAGCGGTCCTGAGTCCATGTGAGAAAGGGATAAATCAAGTCCATAGGCAGATCGGTTCTTATCTTTAGAAGCGTTTATTTACAAGGCAATAAATCCATTAACATCCATCGGAAACTTCAGCCATTCTCCGTGCTTCCAAAAGCACCCTCACAGCTCCTCTGAGCTGAGCTGTGTCTGTCTCAGTCAGAAGTGAAAGTAGAACTGAACACAGACACACACTGTGACGCATTTCCCTGCATCAAGCTCCTCCCAGAGCTCCTCCCAGATACAGGGCACCACGGAGTTTTAACCCTGCCAGTTCCAAACTCCACACCCCCTCTTGTCCTGCATCTGGGGACAATAGCCAACAATGCTTTCCCCATACACAGACCCTCACAGAACTCCTCGTGTTTCTGGAAGGTTAATGGTTTTGTGAAACCATCAGCGAGGTTCTTGGTTGAGGGACAGTATTTCAGAGCAACTAGCCCCTCTCGAACGCTCTGACACACATTTTGAAAACGTATGTCCAAATGTTTCGTCCTCGCCTTGAATTGCCCCGTCTCAGCTAATTTAAGGCATGGTTGATTGTCTTCATGCACCACAACGGGCAGACAATCCTCTTCACAGATTTCTTTGACCAAACATACATAGAACTCCAGCTCTCTGCAAGCATCTGATAGCGCACTGAACTCAGCTTCAGTAGACGAAAGCGCTATGAGACTTTGCTTCCGGGACCTCCACCCAACTACTGAGTCCCCAAACTTCATCACTAGACCTGATACTGATTTGCGATCCTCAGAGTTAGCCCAATCCGAGTCCACAAAGCAAGTCAGTTTGACTTCTCCTTGAGCTGACAACCTAAGACAAAAGTCTTTGGTTTCCTGCAAATACCTCAGAACTCTCTTGATGCCATTCCAGGCTTGTACACTAGGACTTGCAGCCTCTCTACTGAGCAGATTGACAGCAAATGCTATGTCTGGTCTGCTCCACTGGGACAAATACAACAGACTCCCTAGAGCTGACTGAAACACTTCAGTATTTTCGAACGCAGCGCGTTCTACTTGCTGATTGTCCTTCACAAAACTAGTCTCCATAGGACTTCTCACTCCTGCACAATCACTCATCCTAAACTTCTCAAGCAACTGTTCAATCTTACCTTTCTGGCAAAGCAAAAAACTACCATCCTCAGTCCTCGCTATCTGGACGCCTAGGTAAGACTTGACATCTCCAAGCTGCTTCAGCTTGAACCGTTTTCCAAGCTCTTTAGCAAACTTCTCCACCTGTTCACCTGTCTGTGCCATTGCCAAGATATCATCAACAAACACCTGCACCACTTGCTGTTTTAAGCCTGAACCTCTAATGTAAAGACAACTGTCTGCAAGAGATCTCTTAAAACCTAGCTCCTCTAAGGCTTCATGTAGACACATATTCCAATTCCTGGCAGATTGACGTAATCCATAGATGGATTTGTGCAACCGCCACACGACGCCTGGCTCACTGACTTCAAACCCTGGAGGAGGAAGCATGTACAACTCCTCCTTGAGATCTGAGTTCAGGTAGGCGACATCTACATCAAAATGGTTCACCTTCCAACCTCTCTGTGCTGCTATCGCCAAAAGCATTCTCAGAGTCTCTGCTCTCGAGGTTGGCGAATACACTTCCGTGAAGTGTACCCCCTTTTTCTGTGAGAATCCTCGGGCCACTAATCTCGCTTTATACTGTGGTTCTCCTGCTTCTGTGGGTTTCAATCGGTAAACCCATCTGCAAGTAACAGCTCGCTGGTTAGCCGGCAGCTGTGTGAGTGAGAACACACCATGAGACTCCATTGAGTTCATCTCCTTCTGCATCGCCTCGCGCCATTTGCTAGCTTCTTGCTGAGGCAACTTCTGAACATCCTCAAAGGATTCAGGTTCACACCTAGCCACACCAACCCAAACACTAGTGGCTTCATACCTTTCAGGTGGCTTTCCTTTCGTTGATCTTGCTGACCTCCTCAGCGTGAATTCTGGAACTGCGCCTGATTCACCTGGATCAACCCTACCATCTCCTGTGTCAGAAACCTCCCCCTCTGACCTGCTGCGCCTTTTTGGCCTCACAACTGGTTCTGCAGGCGGGGAGGGCTCACTCTTTGGCTCAGACTTGACAGAAACCTGTGGAGGGGTCCTGGGACTCCCTTTTGGAGAAACTGGCGCTGGACCCTGTTGCTGTGGACCGTGCGCATCAGCAGCCGGTTCAGCCTCGCCTTCCTCCTCTTCCTCATCTGAGTCTGACAGAACATCTGGGTTCCCGTGAAGACGTTTCCACCCACTCTGCTCGCAAAACTCAGCACTGCCGCTAATAAGCAGCTTGGACTGGTTGCCAGTAGGGTATGCGAAACGCCACGCCTTTGAACCCGGCTCATAGCCCACAAAGATCATCTTCCTAGACCTTGGCTCACCCTTTCTGCGCATGGCCTTTGGAGTGAGAACCCAAGCCGGAGACCCAAAAACATGAAAAAACCCCACCTTCGGCTTCTTCTGATGCAACAAAAAATACGGTGTGTTGCCTACACTGGAATTGTACACCCTATTCTGCACAAAACATGCTGTCCGATAACTCTCAGCCCAAAAACGCTGTGGCAACCCCGAATCTGCCAACATTGCGTTTGCTGATTCCTGTAGTGTGCGAAACTTCCTCTCTGCAATCCCATTCTGTTGCGGACTGTAGGGGGCAGTCAATCGATGACTGATACCCTTCTGCCTGAAAAACGATTG